CCCCCCCCCCCCCCGCCTCCCGGACAGGAGATGACTTACAATGTCCCAGAATCCTGTGGAATCAGGCCCATGGCAGGGTGAGTCTGCCATTAGCCCATCCATTCCCGTTCAGGCGGTAGTAGCAGCAGCCGTCTGCAGAAGGATACGGATGATCCCCACCCTAACATGTCCTGCGACAAAAGATGGGAAGCCTTGAAGTCAGGGCGAGTCCCTGGAGGATGTAGCAGCAGTCAAGCTATATGAGAAAGTGCTACAAAAGGAGGGAAGAGCACAGATCATCCTTGAGGTAGGCATAACCAAGGGCGTGAGGAATGAGCCGTGTGACAGGATTGGAGAGAGGCTACCGAGGTTGGATGGAGCAGACCCAGTGGGTTGGGCAGGTCATTATAAGGGGTGATTAGACTTGGGCTTTTCCTTCTTTCTCCTTCCTTCCTTCCTTCCTTCCTTCCTTCCTTCCTTCCTTCCTTCCTTCCTCCCTCCCTCCCTCCCTCCTTCCCTCCCTCCCTTCCTTCCTTCCGTATGTTTGTTTATTTTGTGTGTGAGAGAGATAGAGAGATAGCATGAGCAGGAGATGGGCAGAGAGAGAGGGAGACACAGAATCCGAAGCAGGCTCCAGGCTCTGAGCTGTCAGCACAGAGCCTGACGCAGGGCTAGAACTCATGAACTGTGGATCCTGACTTAAGCAGAAGTCGGACACTCAGCCAACTGAGCCACCCAGATGCCCCTAGACTTGGGTTTCAACAAGGTTCCTCAGGGCATGGGCCACAGGATAGGCTGCTAGTGAGGACAGTGGTTCCATCCCTGATCTTCAACACATCTACAACACAGCTGCCCAGCAGCTGACCAAGGTGGCAGGCAGGTACTCTGATCTTGTGCCCTTACTGGAGGCTGAGTCAGCACCGCTCCCCCCATGCTGGACTCCACACCTGCTGCATAAGACATGGGGTCCACTGAGGTCTCAGGGAAATCTGCTGACCTTTATGTCCTCCTGCTTGCCTTTAGCCCCGAGGACCAAAGCATAAGGCTAGGCCAGCCCACCACCCCAGGCTCACCACCCAGCCTGGTTCATAGGTGTCCTGGGTAGCGGGCCCCATCGCAGGGTCTTTGCAGACCAAGTCTGCTTCCTCTGCCCACACAGCTCTTCCCACACATTCTGTCCCCTAAAGTGACTTTTGATCTTTGGAGTTTGGCTGGACACCACGGTCCTGGCAGATGTACTACCCATCTCACCCTCTTCCTTTTATTCTGAGGTGTATCCCAGAGCTCTGAGCGCAGAAGGCGTTCAGTTCAATATCCATTTATTTATTCGTTCACTACTCGCCCTAGGGCAGGTGGGCCCGCTGTGTGTGAGGAGGTAGGGGTCAAGAGACAGGTTGCCTCCACCTTCTACCTAGGACACAGGCTTGAGGACAGAATGGGTGGAAGGTGGGAGCCAGGGCCTGGGGTGGTGTCGGGTCCCTCATTCCACTCGTAGCCGCGGGCGAGCCTGGGGTTAGGCTGCAGGAATATCTCTTCTGCACTCCACGCAGAGCTGGAGTCCGATGGACCAGCGGTGAGCCCTACTCCTGCCTCCACTCGTGCTCTGGGGAGAAGGCCGCCACCTGGGGTGGCAGTGGAGTCTAAACCAGTCGAAACCCACCTAGGGCTTCAGACCGCCTTCCCAGCCTTTGTCGCCTTGCAGCAGCTTCAGCACAGCGGGGAACGCAGGAGGGCGTGGCCCGCTGGTTAACGGCGCAGGCCCCGGCGCGTCCCAGTCTCTAGGGCGACACCGGAAGCGTGCCCTGGCCCAGACATTCCTCGCTGCCCCGGAGCGCGAGCCTCCGCCACTTCATTCGCGACTCTGTCGAGAGCAGGAAGTTCAATACTTACCGGCGCGGAGCGGCGGCTGATCTCCATAGAAACGCCGGAAACGTGCTCCGACCTAGCGCTTCCCGGCACCGCAGGAGCTGCGGACTTCGGTTCCGCCGGCGTCTCAACCTGAAAGTGCGGCCTTGGCGGTGGTGAGCGGGAGAAGGCCACGTCCCGGCCTGGTGCCTGAGAAGGAGCCGGAGGTGGGGTCGGGCGGGCATCCCCCTGCTGCCGCGCCGGCGGGCAGGCCAGGGCGTGCCCAGGGGAGGGCGCAGGCGCTGGGTGTGGAGCGCACGCGGTGGACGTGAGGGGGCGCTGCAGGATGGGGGCATGGCTCTGGCAAGGCGCGGAGGCGGGAAATACAGGTTGGCGGGGTCTGGAGCGGGTGCAGCCCGAGCGGATCAGAGAGGGGGCTCTGGGGTCAGGATAGGGCACGAGCGAAGAAGCAGAGTATGGGAAAGGGCGCTTGGAGCAAAGTGCATGGCGTGGGCAAAGGCGTGGCAGCGAGGACGCGGCGCCATACCCGGGAGGGTGGGCCTTTGTTCTGAGGCGCCAAGAAGACCCTGCTGTATCTGGACTGAGAGATCACAGACCGGGAGCAGGGTGGCGGTGCGTCGGAAGAGGCAGGCTTCAAGCCGTACGTGTTGATGCGCAGGTTTCTGCCCCAATCACCCAGGCACAGATTTGAAGGTCTTTAGACGGTGGGTGAATAAAGACGGGGAAGGGTGCTGTGGCATAGATAACGATATGTGCAAAGACTTGGCTTCGTTGAGGAATTGCCAAGAATTAATGCATCGCCATGGAGGGCTCTGAGCAGAGGAGGATCCCGATATGTCAGGTCTGAACAGGCTCCCTCTGGCTGTCGCGTGGGGAAATAGACCGGGAGGAGGGGAACGCAAGGAGATGACTCCATCAGCCTCGGCCGCTGGTACCGGAGCAGTGGAGGTGTGCGAAGTGATCTGAGGGTGAGATATGGAACATGCAAGAAAGGGAGGAGCCTGGCGCCAGAAGAAGAAAGGTGGTTTGGGTATGAGGACCCCGAGGGGATGAGTCTGAGACCCCATTAGAACCGGAAGGCCAAGAGAGGCCACACTCCAGGGCTGTGTGACCCCGTCTGAGCTAGGCTGGTGGAGAGAGTGAGTGTCAGGGTGTGACCTTGTCCCGACTGTCCCCCCCCCCCCAGGCTGGAGTTGTATGTGGCCTGGGTACAGGATGAGCCAGGTATCCCATCTTTGTTTGATGGGTAGCGGGGGCCTGAGCCTAGTGAGCATGGTGCCTATTTGATGGGTGAAGTAGCAAAGCTTCTCAGATTCCCGGAGTCCCCTGGGGAGCGGTATCCCCTCCCCTTTCTGGTGCCTGAGCGTGGGCAATGCTGGGATTAGGAGGCTAAAAGTTTTGACAAGAATCATCCGGGTTGCTCAGGCATGCTGACCTGGAGGCCACTGCTGTTCCACCTTTGCCTTCCCAATCACACACCCTTCAAAGTCCACACAAGCCCCCTCTCTATGCCACACCCTCACCTTGTGCCCTCCAGGCTATATCAAAATTCCAAGATGCACCGGGCTGCAGGGGGCACCTCCCTACCTGCTGTGTGGAGGTCTGACAGAGACCATGCTATTTTTCTCTTGTGAGGCATCTGCCAGGCTAATCCCCAACCTACTCTCAACCCTTTGGCCATACACACCCTGAACCACACAGCCCAGGAGGCAGGTTGTGCCACCCTGCCCCTGGAAAGACCTCTGTATATACTAGTTAACGTAACCCAGTTCCGAAGCAACAGACCTTGGTCTCCACAGGGTCTTGAATGCTCCAAGGTTGGAGGATGTAGCAAAGGGAGATCAAAAAGAAGCCGAGAGTGGGAGGAATCACAGCCAGCCTGATGGGGAGTGGGTATGGTGTGACAGCCAGTTCTGGATGGGCATCCCTGCCCTCTTCTCCACAGAGCTGCCCCCTGGAAGGGGGACATGTGGAAGCCTTATGGATACTGGAGTTGGGGTGAGTAGAGTTTGAGCCAATATAGGGAAAGCTGAGCTCTGGACCCTCCACTGGGCAGTAAGCAAGACTGGGAGAGAGGCGTACATTTGGTCTTCCCAACCTTCTCCCAGGGGTGTGCTGGGAGTTTCCTAGGTGGAGCTACAGAGGTCCTGGAGTCTAGGGGTGGGAGTTGGGGGGAGTCCTGTATACGGGAACAGGGCTGCGAGGGGGCTGTTGGAAAGGGCTGGGGTTGTGGTGCGTCCACTGGCCTTGTCTTGCAATAAGGGTTCAAGGGACAGGGGCAATGAAGAAGTGAGGGGCGTCCCCGGCTGACCTCCGTCCCCCCCCCACCCCCCAATCCGGTGCAGATGGCTGCGGCAGAGGCGGTGCACCACATACACCTGCAGAACTTCTCCCGCTCGCTGCTCGAGACCCTCAACGGGCAGCGGCTGGGTGGTCACTTCTGCGACGTGACCGTGCGGATCCGTGAGGCTTCGCTGCGTGCCCACCGCTGCGTGTTGGCTGCCGGCTCGCCCTTCTTTCAAGACAAGCTGCTCCTCGGCAACTCTGAGATCCGCGTGCCGCCAGTGGTGCCGGCGCAAACAGTGCGCCAGCTCGTCGAGTTTCTCTACAGCGGCTCGCTTGTAGTGGCACAAGGCGAAGCGCTGCAGGTGCTCACGGCAGCGTCGGTGCTGCGCATCCAGACGGTCATAGACGAGTGCACGCAGATCATCGCCCGAACCCGCGCCCCCGTCCCGGGCGCGCCCGCGCCCCTGCCCACGCCCGTGCCCCCACCTCTTGCACCTGCGCAGCTACGCCACCGCCTGCGCCACTTGCTGGCCGCGCGCCCTCCGGGCCACCCCGGTGCCGCACATAGCCGCAAGCAGCGCCAGCCGGCGCGCTTACAGCTGCCAGCACCCACTATGCCCACCAAGGCGGAGGGGTCGGACGTCGACCCCGCCCTCCCTGCGGCCACAGACGACGGCGGTGATGGCGGCGAGGAGGAGACCGATGATGAGACCGACGGCGAGGATGGCGAAGGCGGCGGCCCAGGAGAGGGCCAGGCGCCCCCTTCCTTCCCAGACTGCGCTGCCGGCTTCCTCACCGGCGCCCCGGACAACGTGTGCGAGGAGCCGCCTGCACCCGCCGGCCTCTCTGACTATGGAGGCGGCAGCAGGGACTTCCTTCGCGGCGCTTCGGCAGCCGAGGACGTGTTCCCCGAGAGCTACGTCTCTGCTTGGCAAGATGAAGATGGCACTGCCGCAGAAGCCTGTCCCGCTGAGACCCCGGCCCCGCCTGACTGTGTCCTGTCTGGATCCCGCGCCCCAGGCGTGAAGACCCCAGGGCCACCTGTCTCACTTTTCCCCTTTCATTTGGGTGCCCCTGGGCCACCTGCGCAACCTCCTCCCGCGCCCTCGGGGCCTACTCCTGCGCTCCCTTCGGCCTTCTATCCCGCCCTCCAGCCAGATGCGGCCCCTAGCGCTCCTCCCGGGGAGGCCCCAGCCCCGCCCACCGCTCCCGCCGTGGCCCCCTCGGCCGCCCCTGCCAGAGCCCCGGGGTCCGAGCCGCCTGCCTATGAGTGCAGTCACTGCCGAAAGACGTTCAGCTCGCGGAAAAACTACACCAAGCACATGTTCATCCATTCGGGTGAGCCAGGATGGGTCTCTGAGCCCTTCGGTCATTGGAAGTTCAAGCCTGAGGGGGGACTGGGCACTAGGCAAGTGGGATGGAGGCACTCGTGCAGTTCTGTTGCTCTTTCCGGGCCCCAGGGGAGCCTGGAAACAGCCCCAAGTGCAGCCCGTGGGGGAAGAGGGGAAACCCCATCCACACGGAGAAGCAGGCTCTCCTGCCTAGCCCGACTTTGATTCATTCGCGCAGGGGGAATCCTAAGGCTAGGTTAAGGAGCAGGAGTTGCCCAGAGCTTTTGGAAAGCTGGCAGTGGAGATTTCAGTCCCCACGATGGAGCTTGGGATGGACGGGAGCAGTGGAGCCTCGGCAGGGAAATGGGCCAGGCTGGGGAGCAGTGGTGCAGGGAGCCCCCCAGGTCTCCCCAGCTGTCAGTGGGTCCTGGGACTCGGACCGGATGGGAGGGGAGAGGGAGTTTGCTAGCCTAGCCTTCAGACTTGGCAGAGAGGTGGCCTGATCGAGCCTGAGGAGGGAGATGGGGCTGCAGTGTGGGGACCCCACAGCTGCAGAGGGAGGGAAGGGGAGTTCCTCGAAGACTGAGCTGAGAGGTCCCCTAAACCCTCGGCGTGTCTGGGAGGTGGCTCCACAGTGGCTCAGGGAGAGGTAGAGAGGTGCCATGGAGACTGTGGAGCTAGGGGCTGAGGTGGTGACTGGCAGGTCCTGGGCGAGTCACAGGATGTGCAAGGTGCTCCCTGGAGGCTCCGGTGGAGGACAAGGGTATGGAATGCCAGAGACCGCTTGCAGGCCCGCGCTGGACGTTGTTAGGAGAAGCGAAGATTGGGCTGGAACCCCTGTGGGAGTGGAGTGAGGAGTTCTGCGGGCCAGGAACTCGGGATTTCACTGTGAATGTTAGAGAAGGCAGCAGTGACCTGAGGTGGGGAGTGAGCGAGATGTGATTTACAGTTTTAAATTCCTACCTGGCTGCCTAGGGGTTGAAGGAGAGAGCATATAGGAATAGCCTGTGGAGAGCTGTCAGGGGCCCCGAGGTAGTACCAGCCAAGACTTGCCAGTTTTATGTGGCCTTAGCCAGGTGCGAGGCCTGATCTGGGGGAACTCGCTGCCCAGGCACTGCCCTGCAGCCCTTTGTCGCCGAGATACGTGGGTGTTCTGTTTTGTGTTTTTTTTTTTTTACTTTGTTAATATCTGATGATTCTAGGGGCCAACACAGACTGCCTCCCCCTTCTCCGATCAGGGTGAAGGGGGCAGCCTGCTCCGGCACCCCAGGTATATTATAGCTGCCAACAGACAAGAGTTCTGGGCAACAGGGCTTCCAGCAGGAACGGGGCAGGCATGCACACGCCCCTCACAGTTTAAGTGTGCTGGGCCTTGCCCGACTGTTACCAGAATGGTGGCCAGCGATCAAAGTACAGAATTTGATCCATGGCAGGAGTGGGGGGAGGGGAGGTCCCTGGAGGTGGGGGAAACCTCAGCGGTCAGTCCCGACGGGCAACTTTGTCCCAGACCGGCAGGATTCCCTGTTGGGAGGATACCTGTTAGAGCTGAGGGCCCTTGACGGTGGTATCCTGGTGCGAAGGTAAGGGTCCGGGAAAGCAGCATCCCAGCTGAGTGGGGAGACACACTGGGTCGTGACTGGGGGTGAGGGGTGGGGGCGGTTCCCTGTTGGGCCGGAAGGTCTGGGAGTGGAAGGGGTGTCCCTAATGGAGAGGGGGATTCAGAGTTGATGGGCAGTTTGGGAGGAGAGGGGAGTCCCTGCCTAGCAAAGGCTCCCCAGGGCTCCTTCCCAGCTGACATACGTGCGCGGCATGCCCTGTCGCCCACAGGGGAGAAGCCCCACCAATGCGCCGTGTGCTGGCGATCTTTCTCGCTGCGCGACTACCTGCTGAAGCATATGGTCACGCACACAGGCGTGCGCGCCTTCCAGTGCGCTGTTTGCGCCAAGCGCTTCACGCAGAAGAGCTCACTCAACGTACACATGCGCACGCATCGGCCGGAACGCGCGCCTTGCCCCGCCTGCGGCAAGGTCTTCTCACACCGCGCGCTGCTGGAGCGTCACCTGGCCGCGCACCCTGCGCCTTGATCCAGGCCTGGGCCTGGTCACGCCCACCGCGGATTGACCACGCCTCCGCGCGGTGGGCCACTCTTCCGGGCCGGGACCTCCTGTGGAACTAGGCCACAACCACTGCGGGACTGGTAACATCCCTGCCAAAGCCGCTGCACACCTGCCTAGACGCCTTGACCACGATCCCACCACCAAACCACGCTTTTCCCAGAGCGCAGGCCCGCCCTCTGCTACCACCTTCTCTCCAGACCTAGCCAGGGCTTCCGCCCGCCTTACCACCCTCCTCCCTCATACACGGACCGTCCTGATAGTGGCGGGCTGGGGATGGCGTTGGTCAGAGACCTGACCATCCCTGAGAACGGGATCGTCTCCAGCCTAAACTGAGCGCTCAGACCCGTGCGCCAGGCTCAAGACTTCTGGCTCCAGCTCCTTGCGTGAGTGTGGGCTCTGGAGCTGTTCCTTTCTGCGCCAATGTCAAGCTGGGGATGAACCCTAGCTCCCCGCCCTGAACTACCCCTCCCTCAATCTGGTGTCTAAGGGGGCTCAGTGGATCCATCATGGACTGGGATCGGGCCTCGGGACTCCTGCTCTCTAATAAAGGACTGTGGGCCATGGGTCCCAAACCCGGAAGCTGTGAGCTCCCAGACTGGTGCGTTTCTCTCCGTCACAGACTGGCTGTGGGCATCAGGACTCAGTGCCCTCAGCCCTGGGCAACACTGCTGCCGTTTCCTGGGCTCCCTGAGCAGAGACAGGACCATAGGCTTGGCCATTTCAGGGAGGAGTGGGATGCACGTATGACTGGTGCTTGACTCTTCTAGAGCCCTTGGTGCTGTGGGGATAGGGGTAGGCCAGCTCTGTGTTGGGTCTGGGAGAGGGAGGCTACATGTGGAAAGCCCTCAGAATCTGCTGCTGAGTTGCAGATTTGAGGCCCCTCCCCCTAGATCTTCACACACCCCCATCTCAAGGTCCTTTGGACTTCAGGCTCCCCCTCCCCCATTCTGATGGCCATGATGGTTGTGCACCTTATTTTTGAGGGGTCCAGAGAGTCTTTGGGGTTATTCTGCCATGTGGGGATCTGAGCCCCAGGATACCTACCCTGGCCAGTAACTTCTGAAGTGCCAGGCAGGAGGTGGGAGCAGCATCCAGGACCATTGGGCTGCCCACTGGGGAGCTAAAGATATTGACACCTACCTGGTAGTGAAGCAGTGTCACAAGTCTGCATCAGTTCAGCTGGCAGCCAAGAAAGTGGCCACTCTTCTTATGACAGAGCATTGGCAGTGCCTGACCCTGGGCATCCTGTCTTAAGGATCGAGGGTTTGAGTTGGAGGGTGGTGCTCCAGCCTGACCTGTAGGCTCCTGGGTCAACGGCAACACCTCTCTGAACTCCTTCTCTATGACCGCCTTCCAGAAGTGAAGGGTTAAGGCTTTCCCGTCCAACCATTCATCAACTGCTCTGCCCATGTTCCCAGGGGGAAGGGGGAGTTCAGCCTCCTGAAACCCAATGCTGGGGACGATGCCAGGGTTGGTGAGGCACAGTGTCATAGAGCCCAGCACATAGGTGGGGATGGGGCGATCAGAACTGGGTTTGAATTCAGGGACAGGATTTGTTCGTTCAAGTATTTACCCGGTGCCTGCCATGAACCTAGGAAGAGGTAGGCACAGTGAAACAAACAGGTCCAAAATGGCTAGGGGTAAAGTCCGGAGGGCCCGAAGTCACGCTCAACAGCTTATGGGCTACTGCTAGGGGGCGGGGCTAAAGAGTCAGTGATCAAAGCCAAGCAGAAGATCTCTGAAGTTATTAGCATTCTGTGGACGCTTCTCTGAGAAGGGAGCAGGTGCAATGGGCATCTGGCTGCAACTGGCCTTTTTAGTGTTACTGCTGCTCGGCCTGGGACAGTCCGCATGGCCCGCTGCTGTGGCCCTGGCACTGCGCTGGCTCCTGGGAGACTCTATCTTCTGTGTGCTGCTCAGCCTGGCCATGCTGGCGCGGCCCTGGCTCTGGCCCTGGATGCCCCACTGGCTGAGTCTGGCAGCCGCGGCACTCACACTGGCTGTGTTACCCGCACGGCCGCCCCCAGGGCTGCGCTGGCTGCCTGCAGACGTGACCTACATCTTCAAGATCCTCCATCTGGGGCTGAACATCAGGGCACGCATGAGCCGCCAGCCGCTGGACACCTTTGTGGATACCTTTGAGCGGCGAGCACGAGCACAGCCGGACCGCGCGCCCTTGGTGTGGAAGGGTCCGGGGGCCCGCTCAGTCACCTTCAGGGAGCTGGACGACAGGGCATGCCAGGCCGTGTGGGCCCTGAAAGCCGAGCTGGGCGGCCTCACAGGCTTGCTTGCTGGGGAGCCTGCCGCCCTCCTGGTGCTGGCCTCCCAGACCATTCCGGCCCTGTGTTTGTGGCTGGGGCTGGCCAAGCTGGGCTGCCCTGTCGCCTGGATTAATCCGCATGGCCGGGGGATGCCCCTGGTACACTCGGTGCTGAGCTCTGGGGCTCGGTTGCTGGTGGTGGACCCAGGTGAGGACTTCGCAGGCTAGTAGAGGACAGAGGGGGACAGGGAAGGGGACAGGCTTGGAGGACTGCTGTTTAGAGGGTCCTGGTGGGGGCTGGGTAAGGAGCTCCTTGCTACCCACCCACCCTCACAGGCAATTAGAGTTAAAACTTCATTGCTGGTAAGTAATTTTGAAGGCACCAGAGTTTTTTCTTCACCATGTGTGTTTCCATCCTTTTTGTCAACAAATACTAATTATGGGGCTCTTTACATAAGAATGCAAAAGTTTTTCTCTGGGGGCTGCTTTCTGTGTTGCTTGCAGTAGGCTCTTCTCCCCTATCATTGGGTCTTGGGTCTCCCCTCTTTTTTGGGGGGTCTCCCCTCTAGATGTCAGATATGGGCCTTTCCCCAGCTTTTCTTCTGATCCCTGCAGACCTCCAGGAGAATCTGGAAGAGATCCTTCCCAAGCTACAGGCAGAGAACATCCGATGCTACTACCTCAGCCACTCCTCCCCAACCCCAGGAGTAGGGGCTCTGGGGGCTGCACTTGACGTTGCACCCACCGACCCCGTGCCCGCTGACCTACGTGCATGGGTCACATCGAAAAGCCCTGCCCTGTTTATCTACACCTCAGGGACAACTGGTGAGGGTGCCTAGCAACTCTAGCCCTGACCTCTGAACTCTTATGCTGTTTGGACCCCAAGGTTGACATGTGCCTCAAACTTGACCTCGAAACCCATCCTGCCCTTTGATTGTGACATCTGGCCTGAACTCTGACCCCCCAGTGTGAACTGAATGGTCAGCACCAGATTCCTGCTTCTGCCCAGTAAACAACCACTAAATTTGGAATTCACCCTCTGGATCCCAAAACCAATTTTTCTTCCCTGAGTCCACCCTCAGATCCTCATACTTGACCACCTTCTAAGAACCTCAAGTCCCTCACTGCAGACCTGACCACAAAGACCCACTCCTGTGTGCTGGCCCTCCTGTACTGTCCTCTCGTCACCCATGCTTCCCACTCTATTCCCCAGGGCTCCCAAAGCCAGCCATTGTCACACAGAATCGACTGCTACAGATGTGCAAGATGCTGTCCCTGGGTGGGGTCACAGCTGATGACGTGGTCTACACAGTCTTGCCTCTGTACCATGTGATGGGGCTTATCCTTGGAATCCTTGGCTGCCTGGAGCTTGGTAAGACCTTTTCTGAAGACTCCTCCAGTCCATGGGACCTCCAGACTCAATATCAGGGTGGGGCTTTCAGGGTGACAAGAACCCACAGGTTACCCAGCATTGAGGTTCTCACCTTTGACAAGGGACACACAATAGCAGGCCCCAAGGCTACTTGGACAGAAACTTGGCCACTTAGATAGTTCCTAGTGGCTTTGCAGTGGTCCCAAGGTGATGATGAGGTATGAATGCTAGGATAGTCAGTGAAGGTTACATATTCATCAAGAATTCCACTGGGCTATCTTCCTGGACACCTGATTAACAATTCAGACTGGGACCTCGCCAATATTTTCTTTTCAAGTTTTTATAAAAATTTTGAAACACATACAAATTTGTAGATATTTCTACATGACCCTCATGTACCTACCACCCAGCTTCAGCCACCATCAGCATTTTGCTTTCAAATATACACAGTAAAGCAAAAGTAGAGAAAATAGCTTGATGATGTCTCATATCCTCATCCACCTTGACAACTGTTAACACGTTGCCAGTTTTATTTCACATGTAATTCCCCTCTTCATTTCTGGATTATTTCAGAACAAATTCTAGATCCTGTATCTTTTTGCTTGTAAGTGTCTCTTACATTTAAATACATATAGGTATATATTACTTAAATATATATAATGACTTAAAAAACTGTCACCATAGAGATGCCTGTTGTGGCTCAGTCAGCTAAGTGTCTGACTTTGGCTCAGGTCATGATCTCATGGTTCATGGGTTCAAACCCCATGTTGGGCTCTGTGCTGACAGCTCAGAGCCTGTAGCCTGTTTCGGATTCTGTCTTCCTCTCTCTCTGCCCTTCCCCTGCTTTCACTCTGTCTTTAAAAAATAAATAAAAGTTAAAAAATAAACAAAAAACCAACCTGTCATAGTAGTGATATCACACCTGAAAAAAATTACCAGTAACTCTACTATCGTCTGATGCACAGGTCATCTTCAAATTTTCCAAATTGTCTAATTGTCTTTTTACAGTTAAAGTCCCCTCACTGTACTTGTTTGTTATCTGTTCCTCTTTCCCCTGCATTTTTTAAAAGTTTAATTAATTAATTAATTAATTTTGAGAGAGACAAAGACAACATTAGTGGACAGGGGCAGAGAGAGGGGAGAGAGAATGCCAAGCAGGCTCTGCACGGCCAGCGCAGAGCCCGATGTGGATTTAAACTCACAAAATTGGGGATCAAGACCTGAGTCAAAATCAAGAGTTGGACTGTTAACAAACTGAGCCACTTAGGTTCCCATCCCCTGGAAATTCTCTCTAGAGATGTTAGAGTCAGTTCAATTATTAGATTCGGTTGAATTGTTGTTGACAAGAAACTTGGTGGGGGTGCATTGTACTTCCTAATACGTCACATTGAGGGCAGCTAATAACTATTATCCTCCCTTAGAGAGCTAAGAAAAATAGGGGAGATGATTAATTGACTGAGAGTTGACACAATGTTATGTTAGTTTCAGGTGTACAACCTCCATACGTTATACACTGGGGAGCTTTACTTGGAAAACTCCTTATCAACCTTTCCCCTAGTTTTACTGGCTCTTGAAGACCTTTCCTGAATCAGGAATTTCATTAGGTGTTGTAAACAAAGTTGTCACTTTTGAGGACTGGCATCCATTTTCACAGAAAAGGCATTGTATTTTACCTCCTTGTCAAAAATACAGCTTCAAAGAAGACACACACTCACTACCTCACCAAGCACATAAGCAATTGTCCCTTTGGGTGCAGCGATGGTAATATTTAGTTTCCACAATTTTGTTGAGGATTGGGGTTGAGGTAAGGAGAATGCCTTCCACAAAGCCAGGAGCAGAGAAGGTGATCAGCTAAGGAGGGATCACTTTGCCGAAGTGAATGTAGTGGCCCTAAAATTTACTAATCCATGTGTCCATCCTGCAAAACATCCTTCCACCAACTCAAACATCCATCTACTAACCAACCTCCTCACCCATCCATCCCTTCACCCACCAATCCATCTATGCTGCCACCTATCCATCTATCCATTTGCCCAGCTAGACATTCATAAAACATTTATCATAATCAGTAATGGTTAATGTCCATAGCCCTCACTTAGCAGTGCTCACTTTGTACCAAGCATTGAGCTTGGTATACATTCTGAAGATAGGATTCAAACCCATGCCCAATATATGCTCTTCTCATGAAGGCAGTCCTGGCCACGCCAGGGACGCACAGATGGCCTCAAAACCTGTGCTTCAGAGGGCCATAGTCATGTGATCAAAGCAGCTTACGACAGTGGCATGGAAGCATGACCTGAGGCCCTTTTTATCTTCCCTCTCAGGAGCAACCTGTGTCCTGGCCCCCAAGTTCTCTACTTCCTGCTTCTGGGATGACTGTCGGCAGCATGGTGTGACTGTGATCCTGTATGTAGGCGAAGTTCTGCGATACCTGTGTAACACTCCACAGGTGAGGTGCTAAGATTAGGGCTCCATGGTGAACACCTCGGGTATGAAATCCCAGATGTCATACCAGGTAAAGGTTTCAGGTAGAATCACATACAGGACTCAAGCAAGGTCCCTTATGTAAAACTCCCGAGGCAGCAGACACAGATGATGAATCCCACACAAAGTTTCCAATCATGGCTCCTCTGATGATCAGCAGTGCTACCTTGGGTGGGTGACTTTACCTTTCTCAGCCTCAATGTCCTCATTTGGAAAATGGGGATAATAACTCAAAGGGAATATTTGTGAGAATAAAACATATCTAAAGTGCCTAGAACAGGGGGTGTTATACAGGAATGAGGTATGGATCTCAGGTAAAATGCTCCACATAAGGCCCCCAGGTATCTCCCCAAGGTGAGGCTTCAAGTCACTCCCCAATTACCTCCAGGAAAAGGCCCCTAAGTAACCCCTCCAGATAACCTCTCCCCAGGTAAAAGTTCCAGGTACTACCCCTGTACAAAATCCCAGATATCTCCCCTAGGTAAGGACCTGGATAAGCCCTGCAGTCACCCCTAGGTATCCCTCCGGGTAAGGCTTCTAGGTAACTTCCCCCACAGGTAACCTCTGCAGGTAACCCTCCAAGTACAAACTCCAAGTAAGAAAACCTTGGTAGATCCCCTAGGTATAGACCCTCCAATCACGTCCCAGGTAAAGATGGAAAGACAGTGTTTATAGGTTCCTGGGCACACCTGAGGTAACTTCCTCTTCATCCTTCTTGGGATATCCCTGCAGCGACCAGAGGACCGGACACATACAATCCGCTTGGCAATGGGCAATGGACTCCGGGCAGATGTGTGGGAGTCCTTTCAGCAGCGCTTTGGCCCCATTCGGATCTTGGAAACCTATGGCTCCACGGAAGGCAACATTGGCTTCGTCAACTATCCAGGGCGCTGTGGGGCCCTGGGCAAGATGAGCTGTTTGCTTCGAGTGGGTTGGGTTGGACAGTGGCCCTGATTGAGGCTGTGCCTACAGGACCACTACTGACCTCCCCCCCTCCCCCCCACTCAGATGCTGTCCCCTTTTGAGCTTGTACAATTTGACACAGAGGCTGAGGAGCCTGTCAGAGACAATCGGGGATTCTGCGTTCCTGTGGGACTAGGTACGAGAGACAGGAAGCCTTCCCTGGGTGTGGAAAGGGTGGGGATCATATGCTTCTTGGCTGGAACAAGCTGCCCAACGCCTTGAGTTCAGTGCCCAGTGGTGGTGTCTACCATCTCACCCAGAACCTCCCCTCGTCCTGTCTGACCCCTGCCTGGGACACTCTGCCCCTCAGCTCTGCCCAGCTACCCTGCCTCAGTTTCTCGCTCTGCTGGGTTTCTGAGTGTCTATTTGAGTTGTTCTCTTGAGTTCTCAGTGGAGGTCATGTCCTTGCAGGCATCAATCTCTTGTCAGTATCTTCTCGGGTCTTCTCTCCTGGGCCTTGCACAGTCCTGGCTACATCTCTTTCTTCCCAGCACCATTTGTCTCTGTCCCTCCTCTATCCCTTGTTATCCTTTTTCTTTTTTAAGATTTTATATGTCATCTCATCTCATGTAATCTCTATATCCAACATGGGGCTGGAACTAACCACCCTGAGATCAAGAACAGCATGTTCCACTGACTGAGCCAGCCGGGTGCCCTGCTTGTTATCCTTTTTCTAGGCATCCCAAGGTCTCCCTCTGTATCTGCAGGTCTCTTTCTTCTGTCTCTTCTCTGGCAGGATCTCTATGATGGAGTCCACCGTGGCTGGAAACCTCCTGCCTGGGGGCCGGTGGGCTCCTAAGGTTCTTTACCATTGTTAATGCCCTAATTCCTACTTCTACCTCCAGGAGAGGCGGGGCTCCTGTTAACCCAGATAGTAGGCCACCACCCTTTCCTGGGCTACCGCGGGGCACGAGAGCTGTCGGAACGGAAGTTGGTGCGGAATGTGCGGCGCAGGGGCGACGTTTACTTCAACACCGGAGACGTGCTGGCCATGGACCGAGAAGGCTTCCTTTACTTTCGTGACCGCCTAGGGGACACCTTCCGGTCGGGTCCCCAGGGGGCTGGGAGGGCGGACGGCCGAGGCTTCCTGATCCTTTAAGGGAGCCAGGCCGAAGAGGCGGGATTTCCGGATTCCAGAGGGGCGTGGTTTCTCGATCCTGAAGGGGCCGGGATTGGGCAGAGCCGGCAATCAGTTCTTGTGGGAGGAGGAGGAGGAGCTTTCGGGCAGGAGGAGGGGCTTGCGGGCAAGAGGCGGGGCCTCCTCTTTGCCAGAGCTGTGGTCACAATCACTGGCTTCAATCCCACAGATGGAAAGGTGAGAACGTGTCCACCCGGGAGGTGGAGGGCGTTTTGTCACTTGTGGACTTCCTGCAGGAGGTGAACGTCTACGGTGTCTCTGTACCAGGTGTGGAGGATTTGACTCATTAAACCTCCAACAGCTTTGTGGGTGTTATCCAGATTTTAAATGTGGGGGAGCTGCTGGGGCACAGCCAATGAGCAGAGACGGGCCAAGGAAGTGGGCCAGCGATGGGCACCATAAGGTGGGTGAGTGGAGAGTGACTGTTGTGCTTCTCAGGTTGTGAGGGCAAGGTGGGGATGGCTGCCGTGCAGCTGGCTCCAGGCCAGAGCTTCGATGGTCAGAAGATGTACCAGCACGTCCGGACTTGGCTCCCTGCCTATGCTACACCCCATTTCATCCGCATCCAAGTGAGCTCAGGGTCGGAAGTTGGCGGGTGGGAGGTCTTAGCCAGAATCTCAGAGTTGGGATTATGCTTACCGCCCCTGCAGGACGCCCTGGAGATCACCGGCACGTTCAAACTGGTGAAGTCCCGGTTGGTGCGTGAGGGCTTCAATGTAGGCATCATTGCTGACCCCTTGTTCGTGTTGGACAACCAGGCCAAGGCCTTCCGGCCCCTGACAGCGGACATATACAAGGCTGTGTGCAACGGAACCTGGAGACTCTGACCATCTGACTTGTCCCCAAGACATCTGAAGTGGCTGTGCCCAATGCAGAATACCACTCACATTGGCAGAATCCTCTCCACCCCAAACCTGCTGAGAGTTATGAATTGCAGCCTGGCCATAACCCCAGTTGAAGAGAGTAAGATGACAGTGGGCCAAGTAGTGGAGTGAGAATAAACTTGGTTGTGTACACACATGTCTGTGTGTGCAGGGCCAAGGGCAGGCAGCCCCAAGATGAGCCACTTTGGCATAAAGATGACTTCGTGTTAAAAGCAATAAAAACCCAGCAGATTCAGGAGTTCTTTCTCTCTCTCCCACAACTGCCTAAAAGGATTTAGATAGAGGATCTGCTCTAAGAGAGCTATCACCACAGATAACTACATTCTAATAGGGAGGAACCTAGGAAGGCCTCTTTAATCAAATTCCTGTGTCCTGTTTCTGCATGCTCCCCCCACCCAAATATTCACTCTTTTTTGTCTTCCTTTAAATTTTTTATTTTAGAGAGGGAGAGAGTGTGTGTGAGCAGGGGAGAGGGGCAGAGGGAGAGAGAATCTCAAGTGGACTCCACTGTCAGTGCAGAGCGCAATGTGTGCTCAGTGCAGAGCACTGAATCAAGGACCGTGGAATTGTGACCTGAGCCAAAATCAAGAGTCACACACTCAACCAACTAAGCCGCCCAGGCACACCTTTCATTTTCCTTTAAATTGCATTTCTTCCTATTGAAGTCATGGACCCCTACACCTTTCTCTGTGCAGTATAATATACACCTCATTTTGCCTGTCTTTGGAAGTTTATGGCTGTGTGCATTCTCTATATATACCAAATTAGATTTTCTCCTGTTAACATGTCTCATGTCAATTTGATTCTTAGACAAGCCAGAGAGACCTCGAAGGGCAGAAGAAATTCTTCCTCACCAACAGTGGATGGAGATGCAAATGAGAAATTAAGGCCTTACTGCCCTTCAGAGACCTTACTTCAGGGTTCCCCCTACTTCCCTAAGGATCTTGACAATCTCAAAGAATGGCCTGTCTGGGCAAGGCCAGAAGTGTGAGAGGAGCTAGCAGCCTTGTAGCCATTCCAGGGTTGAGAGATGAGGCTGGCCTCAGGCCAAGCAGATATGTATATGGTCTAGAGGATGTAAGAATTGCTATCATGGTGATATGACAAGGACATCAGGCTAAGCCAAGAAATGTGAGCAAGTAACTGGAAAGAGCATCCCTGGCAGAGTACACCTGCAAAAAGGATGTGGAGCAGGCCCAGAGCCCTCTGAATGAAACCCCAGTGTCTTAGGGGCCAGAAGAGCCCTTTGGGCACTGTAGACATGTGCATGCCTTTGCTAGTTCCACAAGAGTAGTGCACACTGTGTTGGGGGCTTTATATGTTACTTGATCATTATGGAAACTATGGACTATAGGCCAAGGGAAAGCAAGAGTCATGAGTGGCAAAGCCTAGGGGAGTGTAATCCTCACTGTCTGAACTGGAAGTGCTTCTTTGGGACTTAGGATAAATGCAGATAGGAGTTTGAGGGCACTGAACCTCTGGTTAGTACATCCCACCCATGTCAGGGGATTTAGGTGCTGCCCAGGGATGTTAAGAGCTGTAGAACTGTAGAATGGGAATAACACATTAATTCTCAGTGAAGTGGGCTGTGTTCTCTCCATGGCAGGAATCATGCCTGACTGTTCTGGGTGTTGTAGGCTGGGGCACGTGTGCATGTGAAAACTGAGATGACAGAGGCCATGAGAGCTCAGATACTGCAAGTGGCACCTGGGTCATTGTGGGAGCTGTTAGGTTTAGGCTAGTGGTCAGGAAGAACTGTGATGTATATCCAAGTGGGCTCAGGGCTTGAGCTGCTGTTTTCAAGTCCTCTATAGTTCTACAGCATAAGCCTGAAGGGACCATGCTCCACTTCTCCCAGTGCCAACTTTGTATGTGGCTTTCACTAAATCAGTGAAAGCTCAGCCATTCCCATGATTGTAGCTTCAGAAAGCCATTTCCTGACACCTCCTACTCCATCCTCATATTTGTAGGTTTATGTACTAAAGACTCCTCTCTGAATTCACTGGGTAAGTAAGTAAGAACCAAGTAAGGTGGGTTTGTTTAGCCCACCTTGCCCCAGAAAGCCAGGGAAACTTTTACAGTCACAGGGTTAAAAGCAGAGGTGTCAGCCTGGCAGGATAGTGCCCAACATGAACACACTTGTTTGGAAGAGGGCAATGTAAGGACCAAGAAACAAGGGAAGGCAGATGATCACAGTTGTTTCCAGAGGATCTAGATGGGAGCCACTGACCAGTCCTGGGTATTGGGAGGTGTGGATCTGAGGAGGGTGGAGGAAGTGAGCGATAGCAGGAGCCACCACACAGGTGGGAAGGAGACTGGTGGGGAGATGGGTCAGGGAACAGGCTCAGATTAAGGGGACAAGAGGAATTAGGTGGGACACTGCTCCAGGAACATCAGTTCAAGATGCAGAAAAGGTTAGGGCTGCCTAGGTTGCTCAGGCAGTTGTGTTTGACTTTGGCTGAGGTCCTAAACTCATGAATTGTGAGTTCCAGCCCTGCGTCAGGCTCACTGCTGTCAGTGCAGAGCCTGCTCCCAAGCCTGTCTCCCGTTCTCTCAAAGTGAAACGTTTCTGTTTTTAATCTTCAAGGTCGTATATGACTCGCCAAGTGCCCACTAGCTGTTTGACAGATGCCTTTGCTCCTGAATCAATGGATTTCCCCAGAAAGCTCTGAATCAGGTAGACTGGGGGATTTGTCTGCATTTCACAACTGTGTAGACCAAGCCTGAACCTAACCAGGGGCCCCTCATGGCGGTGAGTCTGAGAGAAGGTGGGTGGGAACAAGGCCAGAGTGTGCACCAGAGACAAGGGGATGAGTAGAGCAGAGGTGGACAGTGGCTCACAAGCCTCCGGGACACCTGGAGGCCTACTTCAGTGGACTTGCACCCCAAGGGTCTCGGAGAGCCACTTGCTGCAGGACACCTCTCCCCACCACATCTCCCCTCCTTGTAGGACTTGTGAGGTTCCAGAAATGGAAGATGGGTCTCAAACTGCTGGCAGGTGGGGAGTGAGGGAGATGTCATGTCTGTGCACATTCCACATGGCAGATGGCTGCCAGACCGTGGAGGTGAGGAGACTACAGCATCCCACTGCCTCAGTTTCCTGAGCCTGGTACAACAGACTCCTCTCCTGGTAGAGCTGAGGCTTGGGGCAGCCTCATGAGGTCCACCTTGCCCAACTCTCCTAGAAGAATCCCACACACCTCTGGGTGCCAAGAAGATATGTCCTAGCCCCTCACTGAGTAACAGAAAATGCATGAAGTGAAGCCAAGGCTACAAAGTTCTGAGATGATCATACTTAAATTGTATTGTTAGGAGACCTGACTGGCTCTTGATCTTGGAATCATGACTTAAAGCCCCAAGTTGGGTACAGAGCTTAAATATATAAATGAACTTTAAAAAAAAAAAAAAAAAGCCTGTGTTGTTAAATCCTTCTGAACCATGACCTGAGGCTGGGAGGAGAGACGGAGGCTGTGGACTTCCACAGTGCTGTGCAGGGATTTACACATTGTACGTCCATTCCAACTTACAATTTTTGGTCTTTTTTGTTCCCATGAAAAGAGACCACTAACAGCCCTAGGGGGGAGGCCTGAGGTCAAGACAGGGCTCGCTCTGCTGAGGGCCACAGGGAGAAACCTGGGCCCCAGCCCACCACGTGTCCCGGCCATGTGGACGTGTCCCACGATGGGAGGGCATCACACACACACGGCCTTAGGTAACAGCAAATCCTCTTTCCAACTGAGGGACTAGAACAGGTGGGCACTTGCCCACTGACGCTGCAGAAACAAGAAGTCCCATCTGGTCTCCTCCAACCTGTTATCAGGATCACTTCTCACCAGGGCAGCGGGGATATAAAGGCTCCTGTGTTGGTGACTTTGGTAACAACAGGGCTTGGCCAACGCTGAGGCCCGGGTGAAATCTGAATGAGCACAGAGGGGCCACCTTTCTTGATGTTGGTCTCCCTCCTCCCACCCGGGGACGTCCACCTCTACTTCCTCCACGTCCTGTGGGACTGCCATGCGCAGGAAGCCAGGCCTGGCATCACCCAGCCTTCACACTGCAGACTAGAACACGAGTGGCAGAGCATGGGGGCAGAGGGACGAGCTGGGCCTGTGACCTGCAGTCAAGTCCCGGGCTCTGCTGTGTGCAACACACATTCCCACTCTCTGCCTCGGTTTCTTCAACTGAGAAGTGGGGATATGAGCCATAGCAGCCATCTCACAGAGCTGGCGGTTGGCACATGCGGCCCTTATCAAGATCCTGCCTGTCAAGGTGCAGAAAATACCCTCTGTAGCCGGAATCTCTCTCCCTCTCTCTTCCTTTATTTTACCCAGAGGTGGAAGTGGAGGCTCAGAGCCCAAGGCCAACACCAGACCCCACGTGACTTACCATCTACTGGGTCGGCTCCCAGAAGCCTTCGACAAACTGAGGTCTTGAGGGAATATCCTGAGGGTCAGCCCGTTGGCCTGTCTGTGCATGGGCGTGAGACATTTCTAGGACTGCCTGCACGACACTGCAGCATTCCCCTCCTCACCCGAGTGCCCACAATCAAAGAGGCATGAAGCGCCACTCTGACTGCCCAGTCTGTGCCCACCGAAGTCCCAGCCTCCACGTCCACCCCCCTGATCTTTCTGTAGTCAGATCTCTTGGGGTTGTAGTGAGCTGGTGCTGAAATGGCAAACATCCTCACCATGTGCACGTGGAAGCACAGGGCGCGCACGGGGCTTCTCCAAACTGTGGATATGCAGGGAACAAGGGCGATTAACCACA